TCTCTTTATTTTACATTTGAAGAAACTGAGGCACAAAAAAAGGTTGTGTCTTACCTAGGATCAGTATCTGAGGTAGGATTTGAACCCAGGTCTTCCCTTCTCCAAGCCTTGCTCTATGCACTGTGTTTAACCTCCATTAAGTTTCCTGCTTTGGATTTGCATGAGAACTGACCTAGGTTGCCTGATTCAGAGGCATAAATTGTTATAATTGGAATTTACTTAAATATACCCTAAAGGCAGAAGAATCTTTGTTTCTTACCTACTGGATTCAGCCACAACCGGCAACTAATCCTCTCCTTTATGTGGGCTACTTTCTACCCCCAGAGTAAAGGTAAAAAAGGGAGAGCATGTTTAAGTCGAAATGGGCCATTCTTCTCCAAGAGTATACAAAACCTTTAATGACTCCATTGATTAGCGATAAATTCAGAGATTATAGAATGTTTCAATAAAATAGTTAATTACCAAATATTCCTCACTCATTAAATATTCCTGACAAGCTTTTCTTATATCCAGAAGAGGCATGCACTCCAGGTTTAAAATCCCCAATCTAGGTTTCGGGATGGATTTTATCTAATCCAATAACAGCTCAGTCCCTGTCCCATTTTAGGATAACCCTTTTTTGTTATGAAACTGGCCACACTGATTCATCTCTCTCAAGTACATACTACAATGTTTAATGGAACTAAAAGGGAATAAAAGTGAAAGTATTTTTCATCAAATGATGGAAACATAGACCATTTCAGGTTGTCCCCAACCCCAGTCTCTCTCAGAGGTGGGAACTCTTTTTGAGCTAATGTTCATCTTTCTCCTATTCTCTCTGCCAACCCTAGGATGCTGAAAGCCAACCCAGAAGTTCTTTCCCTCAGCTGCTCACAAAAAGGCAATGGACCAAGGTTTTTCACTCATGTCAAGGTTTCCATTGATATCATACCAAAAGCTCACAACACCTAGAGAATCTCCCCAGAGGTAAATTCTACCCCCCAAGGTCATGTCTCCATTGGGAAGCATACCTGTTAGGTACAGTGTCATAGAACCATAAGATTTGCAGTTGGGACCCTAAAAGTCATGTATTTTGACCTCATTTTATAGATGAAGAAACTGAAGCTAACAGTTAAAACATTTAAAAAGTTCAAGAGGCATAGTTTCTGGGTAATTAATTATTTTTTAAATAATGTTAGCATATAATTAATAAAAGGAGAGTAGTTTGGTTGTCTCTCTTAGGCCAAAGATCCCCTCATGGAACCCATTCAACACTTATATGCCCTTGGAAAAATGGGTGTTCCTGAGAGTGGAAATCATCTCTGATTAGTTAACAAGTAATGAGGGGAAAGTATTATAATGAGAGATGGGCTTATTCTAATGAGGGGCTGGGAGATGTGACTGGGATCACTCAGTTTTCTACTTATGTCACCTGCCTGACAAAAGGGAGAATCCACATTTTTCCAGACTTGTCCGAGTAAAATACAAAGTCTGCCTGAATAACCTACAGGGGCTGATTTCTGAATGAGGAAGTAGAAAAGGGGGAAAACCTAGGTCCTAAATGAATAATTAAATACAAGAGAGAATTTTTTTCCTCACAATAATTAAGTGACTTGTTCAAGGCATACAGCAGTAACATAGATATAATTTGAACCCAGAGTTTCTCATTTCAAATTCAGTTTTCTTTTAAACAGCATTCTCAGGAAGCTTTATCTATTGTAAAAACAAACACCAAGCATGTTTCAAATTCTAGAGCATATTAGACATAGGCTTTGCATTACACCTTGCTTGGCAATTAAGTGGCACAATGAATACAGCATTGGACCTAGAGTCAGGAAGACACCTGAATTCTAATTCTGCATAAGATACCTACTAAAAGTGTGACCCTAGGAAGCTCACTTAGCCTCTCATTTTCCTTACATGTAACATGGGGGTAATAATGGCGCCTACCTCCCAGGGTTGTTGTGAGGATCAAATGAGAAAACTTAAGTAAAATATTTTGCATATGTTAAAGAACTAATATTTAAATACAAGCTATTGCTTTCTTTTTCTTACATTTACTCTGGGGGTAGAAAGTAGCCCAGATAATTGAGACTATTAGGTTTGGGGTGTGGCCAAATCCAGTAGCCAAGAAACAAAGATTCTTCTGGCAGCTTTCCAAAGGGCTAGGGGCAATGCCAATGCAGCTGCCCACCAAAGCTGCCAAGAGATAGAAAGGCTGATGCTGGCAACCCCCTGCCCCCTGTCTAACAGCTGGGTCCTTATGCTTTGGCCCAGGGAGAAGTTAACCATTGCAATCTCTACTTCCAACTACTTCCCAGGGAACTCAAAGGTGCTATAAAAATGTGAGTTGGTATTTCCCATGCTCACACAGAGGGCCCCCAGTCTTTAACTAATCAGTACATATTTAGGAATGCTGGGTTTTCTTCATCTCTATCCTGACAGCTCAAGATCCTTTCTCCTATCTCCATTCTGAGCTCCTCTGAAACCATCTCAGACTTATTCTGAACTTAAAGAATTCTGACAGGGCTATAGCTCCCCAACTCTTTTTCCTCCCATTATTTCATTATGCCCACTTTCACAGAAGTTGCTCATTTTGTCTGACCTCAAGCCCTATTGCTGCATCTTAAAATAAATTTATTTTTTTTTCTCCATTGGAAATGAAGAAAATCTCTAGAGTTCCATTGAGCAAGAATCTCAGCTCCAGGGCAGAGATATCTTACAGGCACCACATTTTTTAAGAGACCAAGAAGAATAGGACAAAGAGAAAGAGACAGAGAGCAAAAGGGAGGGCAAGGTAGAACTATATACATGAGGCAAGAGGGAGAGAGAGGGAAGAGAGAGGTAGAAAGGGGGCATAGACAGAGACAGATAAAGAGAGATGGAGACAAAAAACAAAGAGATAAGGAGACACAGAGACAAAGACTAAGACATATATAGGCAGCCTAAGAAAGAGAAAGATGGAGAGATAGAAAGCAAGGAAAAGAGAAACTAGATATGGAAAGAGGAGAAAGTGAGAGACAGAGAAACAGACAGAGACAGAGAGAGACATAAACGGAGGGGGGGAGGGAAGGGAGAAAGAGGAGAGAGAGAGAGACAGAGAGAGAGAGAGAGAGAGAGAGAGAGAGAGAGAGAGAGAGAGAGAGACAGAGAGACAGAGAGAGAGACAGAGAGACAGAGACAGAGACAGAGACAGAGAGAAACAGAGGAGAAAGACAACGTAGGAGAAAGTGAAACTGGATTGTGGCTGAAAACCGCCTTGCTCCACTCCCACTCATCCGAGAGAGGATTTCTTTTTGAAATGTCTGTCAGCAGCTTCATCCAGTGAGTTCCCACCCACACAGCCCGTTCTCAAGGCACCCTTCCTTCTGAGTCTTCTGCATACTGAGGGGATCCCCTCAGCTCAGTGGAGACCAGCCATCCCTTCTCTCCTCCAATTTCTATCCCTCTCTTTGTCTCACCTGCCCTTCTCTCCCCTCTGAAAGCCACTCTTGTTGCTGGTTCCAGACCTCAGCATGTCTATTTTCCCTTGGCCAGAGAGCCCCTGCTCTCAGCCCATTTTCTTTTGCCCCTCCTTACCTTTGAAAGGCAAATGCAACCTGAGCCTCCCCACACCTCCCAATTTCCTTCCAGGACCACCTTTCTAATCATATCTAAGCAGCAGGAATAAAATCCCTGCGACGCAGAGCAAATATCTTCTTCCCTGAGCCTCAGTGTTTTCACTTGTAAAACAGGAATGATAACCCCTGGTCCACCCCCCACCCCCACCCTCACCTCATAGGGTTGTTTGTGAGGGGCAAATGAGATTGTGGGCATGAAAGGAGTTCAAAAAGTACACAAAGCTATCCGTGAGTGTAAAACTGTATTTTTAAAACGTTGCTTATATTTAAGGAATCTGAAAGTCTGTGAGGTATTGGCTAGATTCTAAGACTCTGAGCAGTGGCTAGATTTTAAGAATTTAAGCACTTTAATGGAGACAAGATGGACCTATTACATGCAGAAAGACTGTGGGAGGGAACTAGGAGTGGCCAAGTAGTTTGGGGTGACTGGAGAAGGGGTCTAAGGAGGATTTGTATGGGAGTGGCCAGTAAGCTGAGGTGAACAGAGCTCCTGGGACCTGGACTATGTGGCTAAGGGAAAATGGAGCCTAGCTAGGATTAAGGGTAGCAAATGGCCGGGGCCCTCAGAATCTTTTCTATGGCAGTTCAAACAATAATTTCACAAGCTTTTGGTCATGACATGGCTGGTGAGGATCTGTAAGGAGCACTAGATTTTTTGGGGGGATGGAGGGGAAAGAATCTACTGGTTTTAACAAGATGTATACTCAATATAAATCAACTCTGTCTGTGTGTGTGTGTGTGTGTGTGTGTGTGTGTGTGTGTATGTGTGAGAGAGAGATGGAAGTCAAAAATGCCAGCATGAGATTAAATTCTAATAATTTGATGGATCCATGACCTGAATAATGTGGATACTTCCTCCTCTGGTATAGCCTGTGACCTGTCCCTGCCTTCTCATCCTGTGTGACTTTTGTTCATAGTCTTTCAAAAATCTTCCACATAACACTTACCCAACATACTGAAGATGGTCCTCTGGGTCTTTCAATATTTCACGGACACTAAAGCTAACTCGTGGGTCATCCATACTCACACTCAGTACAATGACCAATCCACTTCATTTTTCTGATCACATGTGCACTTATTTGTTTTACATTTTTTTTTTTGCCATGGAAGTCATCACTGATAATGCTTTGTAGCCTACTTACGTAAATCTTTCCATTGCCTTTCAGACAACTCACAATTTTGGAGATTCTTTGGAAATTGTGGTGATCCATGATTCACAGCCATATAGAATCGTCAGCAGAATATTCATGTTAATTAACAAGATTGTGTGTGTGTGTGTGTGTGTGTGTGTGAGAGAGAGAGAGAGAGAGAGAGAGCCAGAGAGACAGAGAGAGAGAGAGAGAGAGGGAGAGAAAATTGAAAACACCATACAATTTCCCAAATTCAATCACACTTGCTTACCTATTCTATTAAACCACAGGTCCAGTTCATTGTTCATTTTCAGTGCCAGTTCAAGAGATAGACACTGATGGATCAATTCATCATGTGCTATTCATCCCAGTAATTGTCATAATGTAGTTAATATTCATTCTTTATCCACTTTTTTCTTTGTAGATTTCTGGGCCAATCTGTTTTAAATAGACATATAGCTCACTGAAGTTCTAAATTAATTGAACTGTTATCGTTAAACCTACATTTCTCCATCTTGTCCATTAGGCAGATATGAGGGATTTTGTCTAAAGCCTTGTTGAAATCAAGGCATACCATGTCTGTGGTAATGCCCTGAACTACCAGTTTAGCAATGTTAACGGAAAAGGAAATGATGTTAGACTCCCTGACTTGTTCTTTTCCCCCCTCACTTAGCTTGCTTTGCTTTTTAAAAACTTTTAAAAAAATCTCTTAAAGATTTTTGAACTTGAAAAATGATAACAACCGTGAACATTTCCATATATAAAGAAGTTGCTTGGTTGGTCGGTCGGTTGTTGTCCTTCATTCTTGAAGAAGACCAAAATGACATCACTATGTTGGAGTCAAATACAATGTGTCTGACTGTGGCTGATCAGACCAATATGAGCTTGGAAGGCTTTACCACAGGTTGGGCACAAATAGCCCATATGACCATTTAGAGTGGAGATGCCTCTAAATTAGTGCATCTCACATTTCTTTTGAGTTACCGCAATTCTGCTTTGTTCATAGAGCACAGTCAGCGTCTTTTTTGATGCAGACATGCCATACTGGGTGTTTTTTGCCAGTGTCTACCGTATCACGCAATTAATTCCAAAGTTCTTCAGAGAGACTTTGACAGTGTCCTTGTATCGCTTCTTCTGAACACTACATGAGCACCTGCCTTGCATGAGCTCTCTGTAAAACAGTCTTTTAGGCAAATGTACACTTTTGTTTTCATTAAAGGTTTCTGACAACATCACTAAAATATCATGCTAAAAAGCACAGAGCAAGCACACAGCCTCGCTTTACTCCATTGGTGACTGGGAAAATGTGAGAGCATTGTTCATTATCTAGAACTCGGGCAAGCATACCATCATGAAACTGACCCACAATGCTAATAAACTTCTCCAGGCAACCAAATTTTGTCATAATTTTCCACAAGCTCTCACAACTGACAGTATCAAAAACCTTGGTCAGATAGACAACTGTTGTGTACAGACTTCAGTTCTACTCTTGGCACTCCTCCTGGAGTTGTTGGGCAACAAACACCATATTGACCATTCCTCAGCCCTTTCTAAAGCCACTGGCTCTCAAGCAGGTGACCATCTTCCAGGTGAAGTATCAGCCCACTAAGGAGGACTCTGGCAAGAGTCTTGCCAGCAATGACTAAGAGAAACCTCCTCCTGCCTCCCTATGATTGTCATAGGACAATTTATTTCCTTTATCTTTATAGAGATGGACAATGGAGCCATCCTTGAACTCCTGAGGGACACTTCCACTTGCCATATAACCCAGAAAATTTCAGTCAGCTTTTATATGAACAGTAGACCCTCTGCCTTGTAAATCTCAGCTGGAATCGTATTAGCACTAGGAGCTTTGCCACATGACTATAACCTAATGCCATTCAAAACCTCTTCTTCAGTTGGAAGTTCAGCTAGAGAGGGATTGACTTCATCCTGAGGTATACAGTCAATGGCTTCAGCATTGATTAATGATGATGCATTGAGGACCCTATGGAAGTATTCAGACCATCTCTCCAGATCACATCCTTATCACTAATCAATATGGCTGCATCATCACTGAGTAGATGAGATGCACCATAGGTCTTTGGCCCATAAATAGTCTTCAGGGCATCATAAAAATGCTTTGAATTGTTACTATCAGCATAAAACTGAATTTCATCTGCCTTCTTACTGAGTCAAGAATCCTAGACCTCTTGAAGTTCTGTTTGAGCTTTACTTTTGATGGAGTTAAACACTGCCTCTTTAGAGCCAGATGAACTATCCTGCTGGTAAACCCTGTGGAGTTCCCATTTTTCTTTTAGTAGCTTCTGAAATCCCCCATTATTTTTCATTAAACCAATCTTGATGTTTGTGAGTGTTCTAGCCCAGATGAGTAAATGCAGTGCTGTACACCAAATCTCTGAAAGCTGTCCACTCCTTTTCTGCTCCACTGTTGCCAATTGTATGTTGGCTCAGCTTTCCCCTCCAAGTTAGCAACAAACTGCTCCCTTTCAGAGAAAGGCTGTGATCTGTTGACATAAAATTTTCTAGTAGTCATCTTGCCTTGGGGCTGCACGTTTTGTTGAATGTGAATATTTAGCTTGGAGAGGATGTCTTCTATCTTACTCACTCTCACATCCTGTCTGACTCTTCTCCTTACAATGACATCATCTATTAAATGCCGATGTTTACTGTGAGAGTACATCCATAAAATTTTATTGTGTTTAGGTAAATGGAAGACGGTATTGGTTTTGAGAAAGACATGAATGTACAAGTCTTCACTAGTAAGTGACCATTGCTGTTGCTGTTTCCAACTCTATTCCTCCCAAGGACTCTCTGCCATGTCTGGTAGTCTGTGCCTACTCTTGCATTGAAGTCATCCAGAATTATAAACTTACCATCTTTTAGCATATTGGTGATGAGGGTCTTCAGATCTTCATAAAATTTTCCTCTGACCTCATCAGGGTTCATCGTAGTGGAAGCATACGCATTGATGATGGTAGTCTGGTACTTTCCTGAAAGTGACAATCACTTGAGCCTATCATTCATTCCTTTTGTAAGCATACAAGTTTGGTGACTAGACAAGTTTTGATTGCAAAGTCTACACCAGCTGTGGCCACTCCAGAAAAATGTGTATTTAGCTCTAACTTCAGTAATCTGCCTTTAATTTGCCAGCTTTGTTTCACTCAAAGATGCTTTTTGGATGTAATACTTACTGAGTTATCTCACAACAAAAGCTATTAGCCTTTTGGGTCTACTGGACTTCATGTTGTCCATAAGCATGTGCACATTCCACATACTGATGGTGAGTGGAATCACCTTTACAAAAGCTTTTGTACATTTGTTTGTGTGTGTGTTTTGACTATAGGATAAGATCCTCACCTGTCATGGCAAGCAGGCCAGGGTTGAGTGAAGCAGACAGTTTTAGGGTACCTTTTCTAGCCCCTTCCTCAACACCAGGAGGTGGTCAGTGGAGTCTGTCAATAAGGCTTCTCAGATACCCAGGGGCTGCTGAATCTGACTGCTGTGTCCAGTGAGAAGATGAACCAATGGCCTAGGCTGCCTGTATGCGGGATTGTGACTACAGTCCCAGGGTATCTACACTGCTGCTTCATCACTTGCTTGTCACAATAGGACTTTGAGATAGGTAAAAATGATAAAATGGTATGTGTGATATCTTTTGACTTGTGCCTAAACTGGATGTAAGTGAGATAGAGTTGTGCAAAGTCATTGGCTTCACTCTCTCTTCCAGAGTCATTGAATTCTAGTGGCAAGACAAAGTCAGGATGACTGGTAATGGCTTGGGATACAGTGGATGACATTGATGTGTTTGATGTCTAACCAAGCTCTAAGCACTCCACAGCACCTGTTTTAGCCACCTTCATGGCTGTTGAAACCAATTGTCCTTATCCACCATTTCACCAGGGGAAGGCTTTACATGCTTGGTTTAGAAACCCCCCTAACTCACCAATGGGTAGGAGGCCCTTTGATAAACCTCAACGTGTTTAACTCAGCTGCTGAGATGGTTTACCAGGATGTGGCTACTGTGTATGCTACAGCTTCTTGGAGTCACAGATAGAAGTTGAGTTGAGTCAGTTGGACACAAATGGTGGAAGAGCAGCCCTGAAAAGGGCTAAGCAGCCCTCACACCAGAGGTGCTAGTCTTCCCTAAATACATTCTACACCACATAAAGAAGTACAGAAAAAGAAGATTATACACAAATGGAGATTCCATCTTATATACAGCTTATTTTTTAAAAGTATATACTAAGTTCAACATGTTAGTTCTAATGCTACTCTACTTGTCAGTGCTTCCCTCTGAATTCTTCTAATCACTTAAAAATGTTTCATGGATACTTTTCTTTCCTTTTTTCTTTTTTTGATACTACTATCACTACCCTTTTCTACCTTCCACTCTCCTAGCAGTCCTCCACCCCTCCACCCCATCCATTAAGGCTTTCCTTGGAACAAATAAAGTAATCTTGCACAGTCAAGTAAAACAAATCCATCCCATTTATCATGACTGAAAATAGATGTCTCCTTTCTGCACCTCTAGTCCATTACCCTTCTGTCAAGAGCTGGGAAACATGCATCATCTTCTGTCTTCTAAAGCCTTGGCTGGTCACCACATTGATCAGAACTCTTAAAGCTTTCAAGGTTATTTTTCTTTATGATGTTCTAGTCATTGTATCAATTGTTCACTCATCCTGCAACCTTCACCTCTCCCAGATCTCTCTGAAAACATTCCTATTATCATTTCTTAGGGAGCAATAATATTGTACCACATTTATAGACTATGATTTGTTCAGCCATCCCCTAAATGATGGGTAACCTTATAAGTTCTAATTCTTTGTGACAATGAAAAATGTTGCTAAGAATATTATTGTACTTGTAGGAAGTGTGCTCTGACTTTCTCCTGGAGTGACACAGGCTGCAGCTGCCTCTCAAGGTTTTAGGGTGTCCTTTGGGTTGTCCTTTTCTCTGCTGCCATCAGCCTAAGCCCCAACCAGCTATCCCTCCCATAGTGAGCAACCTCCAGCTGCATTTAACCACTTAACATCAATTAGCTTTTACAAAGAGACATTTGTTTTTAAGACAGCAAGAGCAATATACAAATATTGACCTCAATACTTTGAGAATATATTCTCCTCCATACCACCTGGTCTCTAGGGGGAGAAAGCTTATCTGATTCAGCATAGTTCCTCCAAAATATGGCTTTCGCCAAGTGCATATCCATATGTGGCCTGACTACCAGATGAATCCTTGTCTCAACTACCACTGACCTAGGATCCCTAAGGTCATTCCCAAAAGTCACTCCCTGGTCTTTGGGGCACTAATACTGAGCTGGTTGCCAAACTTGGACATTGGGAGTGCCAGGATGCTAAAGTGCCCTTCTGACCTCTCAGAACTCAGAAAGAGGGAGGCTCCTTCATCTAAAAAGGAAAAGAACAAAGAAGCCAATGGCCATTGCCCCTTTCACAAGGCTACATGTGTAAGAGGGAGAAGGTCCCAAGGCCTCTCCCCTTAAACGTTGTCTTTTGTTGTACACTATCATTGAAGGTGTCCAACAAATCCACCAAGGGCATGGCTAAAGAGGGTATTCCTGAGACTGACAGGTATTTTTGAATACCTCTGCAGCCAATCAAGGAACCTCCTCTTCACTACATGGTTGGTCAACCAGAACCAATTACAAAATAATCTATGCTGTTTTTTCCCTCCATTGAATTTCCATTACATGCCATCATGACTCTCTTAGAGGCAGACTCCCCATTCTACTGTGATGTGTAGAAGTCTCTGTTGCATGCTATGGATCTCTGTTACATGTGGGTCCTTTCTCTTTTATTTTACCTCTTTGGAGTCTGAGTGAAAGGAATAAACAGTTTAATGACTTATTTGTATGGTTCCATAATGATTTTCAGAGTGTTTGTACCAATTCACAACTCTCCCAGCAGTACCTTAGTGTGCCTTTTCTCCAAGAGTTCTTCCAATAGTTGTAATTTTTTGTCTTTGCCAATCTACTATGAAGTGGTACCTTAGAGTTATTTTAATTTAAAATTCTCCTATTAGTAGTGATTTGGATCATTTTTTCATATGGTTGTTGATAGCTTGCTTTTCTTCTTTTGAAAACTGATTGTCATATCCCTTGGCCATTTCCTTATTTGAGAATGGCTCTTGATTTCAGAATCAGTTCACTACATGTATTGAGTATCAGATAGTTTTAACTTTGCCCAGTTAATAATTTCTCTTTCTAATTTTAACTTCATTGGTTTTGCTCGTGCAAAATTTCCAGTGAGGTTTGTGATTAAGACTTTGTGTCAGACCCATACTTAGATCAGATGATCTGGCTGTTTTTGTTCTTGAACTCCATTTCCTATGCTCCTTCCACTGATTTTCATGCTTGATCTGGTGTGTCGGTGCTCAGAGAACTCTAAGGTTTCACACCCTCTTGACTCAGCTGGTTCAGAGCTCTGTGGTCATCAAGCTAGCCTGAATCATTCCCTGTCAAAGTGGTGCTGGCTTTCAATCTCAATGGAATTTCCCCATCAGTGTATACTGGGCTTCCAGGTTACTAGGAAAAAGAGTAGTACAGGACCCAAGTGCCCCATCAAGTGTCCTTGGTCCAAGGCAGGCTTCTGGCCAACTTACCTGAGCCTATGCTGGCTTCCAAGATGGGGCCTCTATCCTAATACCTGAAGGTTTCTGGCTATCTTTTTATGAAGTCCAGGCCTGGATGAAAGAGATTGCTGTTATTTCTCTTTGGATTTATTGATTATCATTTAATTTTGGTGCCCTTTTAAAATCTTTGCTGGCGGGTATGTGGGAGAGTTGGGATCTGCTGTGACTCTTAATATACCTTGCTAACTGTAAGTTTCATGACTGGCTCTTGAAGTCTTACTGGTTTGCAATAATTCCTGCTTCCCCTTCCAAGTGCCCACAGACCATGTCATTCATAATATATTCAGGAATTTCATCAGAAATAGAAATCAAATTCATTAGATTATACTTTATTCTCTTTTTGAAAATTAGAACTATAGTTACCCACCTCCCTTCTATATGTGTTTTTGGAATAAAATTATTAAATAATAGCTAACATTTATATAACAGTTACTATGTGCCAGGGACAAAGCACAATTATGTCATTCCATTCTCACAATAACACTGGGAGGTAGGTGCTATTATTATCTCAACTTTACAGATGAGGAAACTGAGGCAAACAGAGTTTAAGTGATTTGTTTGAGGTCACACATCTAGTAAGAGTCTGAGGCCAGATTTGGTCACTCTATCTACTGAGCCTAACACTATCTACTGAGCCACCTAGTTACCCCATTATTAAATCATATGTATATGTAAACAATTGTAACAGACTGGCACTGTCTCTCAATAAAGAGCCCCATCTTGGGTTCACCTGGTTCAGGGTTAGGAGAGAGGGGTCACTAAAGAGAGAGCTCAAGCTCTTTCTTGTTGTCTTTTACTCTTTATGCTCTATCCTAGAGCTCTGGGCAATCACCTAAAGAAAATTATATCTATATCTACATTTATCTATCATCTATCTATCTATCTATAGATAGATAGAAATATAGATTGATATATATATGTATTGAAAGAGACAGAGAGAGAGAGAGAGAAAGAAAGAAAGAAAGAAAGAAAGAAAGAAAGAAAGAAAGAAAGAAAGAAAGAAAGAAAGAAGAAAGAAAGAAAGAAAGAAAAAGAGCTCTATGTCACACATTCCAGATGTAGGAAGAAGAGAAACCACCAGAGGGCAGAATCACTCTTTTGGGGCTCCGCTGAATGGTTTGGTCTTTCTGATTCAGTTACCCACTCTCTTTGACACAGCATGTCCTCATGGGACAGGGAAAGGCATATGGGAACAGAAAAGTAAACAGATTTAGTATTCCAGAGAACAAGTCCTTCAGCACTGAGCACATATGTCGCCACAAGTGGCTGGGGGCGGGGGGGCGGGGTTCAGCACATCTCTAGGCAATAATCCCCCAAAGGTCTATCCCTATGCATGCCTCAGTGTGGTGTGCTCTAGCCAAAGCAGATCATGCAAAGTGAGAGATGGTTTGTGATTACCCTAATTACGTAAAAAATAGGAAATAATAGAGAAAAAAATATCTTATGGATGAGACCTTAAATCAGTAACTTCTCTGAAACCTAGGGGGCAATGACAGGTCAGAGAACCACTATCTGTCAGGACCTGGACCCAGGTTTGCCTGATTCAGAAGCCAGTTTGTTATTCACTCCACCATTCTACCTCTTCTTTTGCCAACTATTGCATCATGTTGTCCAGTAGGTACTAATGTTACAGGAATGCTGGCAATTTACAGGGATTTGGGGTACACAGGAAAGTAGGAGAGTAACTCATGGACAATTCAATAAACATCCATTTATTTACTAAATGTTTAACAAGAGGGCAACTAGGTGGTACAGTGGATAGAGCACCAGCCCTGGAGTCAGGAGGATCTGAGTTCAAATCTGGCCTCAGATATTTGACACTTACTAGCTGTGTGACCCTGG